GAGTTAACGAGCTGCATGACCCAGTGTTTAAGGTGTAGAAGCTGTCGCCAACATAACAACCACACCCTGAGTTAACGATCTGCATGACCCAGTGTTTATGTGTAGAAGTCGCCAAACACAACAACCACACACCCTGAGTTAACGAGCTGTATGACCCAGTGTTTAAGGTAGAAGCTGTCGCCAACACAACAACCACACCTTGAGTTAACGAGCTGCATGACCCAGTGTTTAAGGTGAAGCTGACGCCAACATAACAACCACACCCTAAGTTAACGAGCTGCATGACTCGGTGTTTAAGGTGTAGAAGCTGTCGCCAACATAACAACCACACCCTGAGTTAACGAGCTGCATGACCCAGTGTTTAAGATGTAGAAGCTGTCGCCAACACAACAACCACATCCTGAGTTAATGAGCTGCATGATCCAGTATTTAAGGTGTAGAAGCTGTCGCCATCACAACAACCGCACCCTGAGTTAACGAGCTGCATGACGCAATGTTTAAGGTGTCGAAGCTGTCGCCAACACAACAACCACACCTTGAGTTAACGAGCTGCATGACTCGGTGTTTAAGGTGTAGAAGCTGTCGCCAACATAACAACCACACCCTGAGTTAACGAGCTGCATGACCCAATGTTTAAGGTATAGAAGCTGTCGCCAACACAACAACCACACCCTGAGTTAACGAGCTGCATGACCCAGTGTTTAAGATGTAGAAGCTGTCGCCAACACAACAACCACACCCTGAGCTAATGAGCTGCATGATCCAGTATTTAAGGTGTAGAAGCTGCCGCCATCACAACAACCACACCCTGAGTTAACGAGCTGCATGACGCAATGTTTAAGGTGTCGAAGCTGTCGCCAACACAACAACCACACCTTGAGTTAACGAGCTGCATGACGCAATGTTTAAGATGTAGAAGCTGTCGCCAACATAACAGCAACACCCTGAGTTAATGAGCTGCGTTACCGAGTGCCAAGGAATAGTCCGAGAAGACCGGACAACTCTCCAACTGGACTGGCTAACCAGTGCAGAAAGATTTAGGAGTGATGATAAGTAGGAATCTTAAGCCAAGTAAACAATGTGTATTTGCTCGAAACAAGGCTAACAAAGTACTTGGGTTCATACAAAGGAGTGTTAGTTACAAGACTAGCGAGGTCATCCTAAAACTGTATCTTGCTCTTGTGAGACCACACCTGGATTACGCAGTTCAGTTCTGGTCACCGTATTACAGAATGGATATAGAATCCTTGGAAAGAATTCAGAGGAGAATGACAAGACTAATCCCGGGCATTAGGAACCTTGAGTATAGAGACAGGTTAAAGCATCTTAATTTGCACTCCCTCGAGAGACGTAGAGAGAGGGGCGATATGATAGAGGTGTATAAATGGAAGTCAGGGCTGAACAAAGGGGACATTACAAAGGTACTCAAACTATCCAACCAGGAGCGAACTCGTAACAATGGGTTTAAAGTAGACAAATTTAGATTTAGGCGCGAAATAAGTAAACATGGGTTTGGAAATAGAGTAGTGGATGAATGGAACAAGCTACCAAACATCATCATTAACTCGAATACGCTGGATAGCTTCAAACATACAGTAGGTTGGGTGATATGAGCAACGGGGGTTGGGTGTAAATGGGACTGCCCAGTATGGCCCGCTGCAGTTTTCGCCATTCTTATGTTCTTTTTACCCAGGAACACGATCCGCAAATCGAGTAACATCCAGGTTCCCAATTACTGCTGGGTAGACAGAGGCAAATGGCGTAAAGAAACTTGCCCATAGTTTCACCCTGCCCGGGGATCGAATATATATATATATATATATATATATATATATATATATATATATATATATATATATATATATATATATATATATATATATACAGTACAGTACATACGTACATACATACATACATTTTATGTCATGATTGTTACACGTGGACGGCGGACGTCGTTTAGACAGACAGACAGACGTTAATGCGCTAACAGCTGACGGTAAGTGACAGACAAATTAGACAGTGATAAATATTAACATCGGCCATTAATATTAACTAGTATTAACATGGGGAAGTATCCAGCACGAACATCGAATTAATATTCACATAATGACGGAGACTTTAATTTAACATGATCGATAATACGTGATATTAACAGTAGAATATTATTAAAATAGAGTATTAAGGACACAGATATTCCCGCAAGTTAAAATTAACAAAATGGTAATATTCATATAAGTCATAATTAACAATGATAATATGTATTTACCATAGCTTAAATTTAACATACTGATAATAAATAATAATAATACTCGTTTAAGGTGAAATTAACAAGAGGTATTTACCAACGCTAACGTGAACACTGACAATATTAACAAAATATTAAATTAACAATGATAATAAAACCCAGGAAACTAATATTAACAAAATCTAAACAATATTTACCCGAGGCTAAAAAAATTAACAATAATATTAACGGAATCTAGAATTTAACAGTGAAATTACGACGGTAAAATTAACACACACATTAAGTTAACATTATTCACGAATGTTAAAATTATATTCACCATAAACTGTGAGGTTAAATACATGGCTCTCCCATATATACACACACACACTCACAATACACACACACACATACACTCACTATACACACACACACATACACTCACAATACACACACACACATACACTCACAATACACACACACACATACACTCACAATACACACACACACATACAATCACTATACACACACACATACACTCACTATACACACACACACACTATACACACACACACACTCACAATACACACACACACATACACTCACTATACACACACACACATACACTCACAATACACACACACACATACACTCACAATACACACACACACATACACTCACAATACACACACACACATACAATCACTATACACACACACATACACTCACTATACACACACACACACTATACACACACACACACATCCATAAATATACATATACAAATATACATATACCGGTATATTAATAGATAAATACACATATATACTCATACACATATATATAGCACATACATACATGCATACACAGCTTATATGTATATTTAGTATTACAAGTCTAGCCCAGTATGGCGCCGGGTGACCGAATCAAGAATTACACACGCTCACCATTTTAACCTAACCATATATCTGTTTAACCTAACCTAACCTAACCTTTAACTCAATTATCCATTTATGCACTTGAATCTCTAAGTCAATCACCCTCTAAGTCAATCACCCTCTAAGTCAATCAATAGGATGTATAAAATCAGTGGTATTTTTAATCCGTCTCTGTAATCCAGGTTCCTAATGCCCTGGATTAAAACGTGGGTCACCTTAATCTAAATCATGTCGATGGAATGTATATAGTGGTATACATCTAAATGGTTTAATACATATATATAGTGATGTATATGTATGTCACAGGTGCTTTATCGTTATGTAAACAATGGTGGAATAAATGTGTGTGTGTGAACATTGCTCTCAAGGGTTCGTTAAATATAGCTTATTGAGGTTAAGTTAACACAGATTTAACACAATCTTCGGAAGTTAACAGCGTTCTCAGGTTAATTTAACATAATTACCGGAGGTTAACTTAACATGGTGTTCCTAAGTTGATTTAACGTAATCTCTGGGGGTTAACTTAACAGTGTTCGTAAGTTAATTTAAAACAATCTCCGGTGGTTAACAAAGTCTTCGTAGGTTAATTTAACATAATATCCGGAGGTTAACTTAACATAGCTCTCGAAGGTCAATTACACATAGTCATTAAAAGTCAAGTTAATAAAGCTTCCGGGTTTAATTTAACACAGCTTTGGGAAATTATGTTAACCTAATTATCGTCGGTTAACTAACAATAAGTAACAGAGGGAAGTTAAGTTATTCTACAGAAATAACAAAATGATGGCGATAAAATTTCTCTCACTTGGGCAATATTTCCCTGCCGTCCCTCACCTGGGCAACATTTCTCTACAATCTCTCACCTGGACAATATTTCCCTACAGTCTCTCACCTGGGCAACATTTCTCTACAATCTCTCACCTGGGCATTATTTCTCTGCCGTCTCTCACCTGGGCAATATTTCCCTGCCGTCTCTCACCTGGGCAATATTTCTCTACAATCTCTCACTTGGGCATTATCAGACAGGTAAACACGTACCAATAATCAGCATTTATAATATTCAAAAAAATTCTACTGATCGGAATTTTTATTTACACTTCCTGGAGAAAAAATATAACCTATGAAATATTTTAGATGTGTTATGTATGTATGTATGTATGTATGTATGTATGTATGTATGTATGGTGTAGACGGGAGAAGGTGCGATAACAGTAGGAGAAAAATGCGGTAAAGACAAATGGCGTAATAAACTAGTAGAAATAATAGAGAGGATACGATAATAGGCAGAATATAAGATAACACTGGTGGAGGGAGTGTGTTGTTGTTGGCGGGAGTTAGCGGTGAACAGTAAGTACACCAACAGCGGCAGCTAACGCAATCCCCGACACCACCACTACCGCCGCTACCCTCACCGCCGCTACCACACACACACATACCACATACCATTCTTAAAGACCTCTCTCTCTCTCTCTCTCTCCTGATACCTGACACTACCACGGGCTGACACACAAGAAAAATACCCTGATCTCCTGACACCTGACACACTGACACACGGGGTTAGGTTACCTTGGTCAGAGCGCCGCGGAGTGTTAGCCAGAGAAGCGCAGATGTTAACTGAACCAGCGGCGGCGGTCAGCGGTGAGGCTCGGCTACTAAACGTTGCCCTGGGCTAGCTAGCGTTTTAAACATCAAGAAGACTAATGACCGTCCTTCCGCCCACCTCACCCTCGCCTCTTGCTAATATTCTAACGCTAGATAGATGTTATTTACACTGGTTAACGACTATAAGGGAAGGAGAACGCCATCAACTACGGCAACAACGCGAGGTGATCACTTACCCGTGTGTGTTCTTTTGTGTATCTTAAGGTTCTCTGAGCGGGCGAACACCTTGCCACACCCCGGGAAGGGACACGGGAAGGGCTTCTCTCCCGTGTGTACCCGTATGTGGTTCACCAGCTTGTACTTGGCCTTGAAGCTGCGGCCGTTGCGGGGACAACTCTGCCAGTAGCAGGCGTGGTTGGTACACTCCGGGCCGCCCACGTGTTCCACCGTAATGTGCGTCACTATTTCGGGCATGTTGGTGAAAGTCTTGTTGCAGGGCTTCTTGGGGTTGGGCTGGTCGGGCTCCACCCACAGGCACGACAACTCCTGCTTGATGGGCTGCCGCATGTACCTGAAGAAGGCCCCAGGGGCGTGGGCGGCAGCCATGGGGTTCATGTTCATGTGGTTCATACCGGGATGAAATTGTGAACCCATCTGTTGGTGAGACCAGTCCATCCCCGCCAGTCTGTTCATGTTGTTCATGTGGCCGTGGTGGGCGTCATGCAGGCCGGGGAACATCATGGAGGAGGGATCGTGGCCCGCCAGCGTCGCCCCGAACATGGTGTGTTGGTGGTTGTTGGCCAGCTCGTGTGTACCCAACGTGCCCAGCGACGCCATGTGGTCCCGCCGGAGGAAGAGGTCCCTGGGGTAGGTGCCCATGTGCCCATGGTGCATGGTATGATGCGACATGCCATACCCATTGTTGTACTGGTTCCCCTGGGCGTGGGTCAGGCCGTCCGCGCTCATGTGATGGGTGGGCGGACTCAACTTGTGGCCCATAAGTGAACCCATGTGCCCACCATCCATAAATGGGTTCAACATTGTGCTGACAATACAACTTGTGGCTTCAAGAAACAATCACAACACTTCACTCCCCACACTCAACTGTCACACAGTGGCACTCCGTATATTACGCGCTCAAGCGTGCGACTGAGTCCGCCGGAGCGGTGCGACGCGCTACATTCACCACAGCACCTGGGCTTCGTGTGGATCCTCTACGATTCATCATTAAGGCTATACCAGCAAGACTCGCTGGGCTCCACGGGGGGTCCAGCCAGCCCACTGGTGCGCGCAGCGGGGCTCACAACACACGCCTCCTATTGGTCCTCAGGAGGGGTCCTGACCACGCCTCCAGCACCACCCCTCCTCACCCATGTCTCTTATTGGCCAGTCACAATTAGCTGGCTCCTCCCCCGCGTATCCTACCCACTCACTTGACAGAGTAAACTATGGAGGGTGGAGGCAGGAAATCCAGGAGAGGCGGAGCTAATGTTGAACTCCTGGAGAGCCGCTCAGTAGGCTGCTGGGCTGGCCAGGGGTGAGCACCGGCCCATCACGCCTCATAACACAACATTTTAACGCTTACATCACATATAAACACCTTAATATACTTGTAGTCTCGTCTTTTAAATATTAATCAGAAGATGAAGGTAAAACTTGTGAATAAGAGGAATGGTTGGAGGTGGTGAGGCGGAGGAGCGTGGAGTGTGACCCACAGGGGGGCTTGGTGACCCCTGCCATGTGACACGGGAGGGGCAGGGCGACAACATGGCAGCCCCGCGGGGCACATCACACACGATACATTGTCAGCACCACCATCCACGTCACACACTCAAATTACGCAGCGAGCGTCCCCCCCACCCCGAGGATCTTGAACCAGTGTTGATAGGGAGCAATGCTTGTTACGCCAGACCCCCCCTGGACCAGCGCCACCTGAGGACGACTCACTACAGCAGGTCTCGCCGTCAGTGCCAACCGAGCACCGTGTAATGTGGCACGAGCGGCGAGGGACCAGCGCCCCGTGGTGCCCCCCGCCCCGCTCTCGTGGGGCACGACCCAGGGCGCTCACCACGACCCAGCTACCAACCCGCACACCACAACACCCTGCAGGAACCTTGAAGCCCAACAGTGAAGGACGAGGCTTCAAGGAATGTAAATGTTTATGACACAGATGAAGCTTTAAGACCCCTGTCTTAGAGTATGTCAGACCAAAGAGGTGACGGGGAGCTACAGAGACCTGTAGACAGACCAAAGGGGTGACGGGGAGCTGTAGACAGACCAAAGAGGTGACGGGGAGCTAGAGATACCGCGAGACAGACCAAAGGGGGTGACGGAGAGCTACAGAGACCGCGAGACAGACCAAAGGGGTGACAGGGAGCAACAGAGACGACGATACAGACCAAAGGGGTGACGGGGAGTTACAGAGTCCATAGACAGACCAAAAGGGGGTAAAATCAAGACCACAGAGACCCAATTTATAGATCAAGGGGTAAAGTTAAGACTACAGTGAGGGGGTAAATCCAATCCAGGAGTCTAAAAGCATCGTGTTATTGAAGGGGTACAAGAGACTCAGCACCATAAGGCAGGAGTGCCAGTGACAAGTCTTCTTAAAGATTAGCCAATAAGATTCGAATCCACATTTAATCACCAATCCCATGTCAGGTTTTTAGTCTATACAACACAACATCACAGTGTAGTAAATGACTGCATAAAGTGCTAAGACAACGGGTAGAAATGATCCATACATACTTGTTCATAGCCTCGGTTTATACACACATACACACACACACACGTATGTATTTTTGTTTATTTTTATGCATGTGTGTGTGTGTGAGTGTAGGTATACTTTCGTGTACGTTTGTGTTTGTTTGTTTGTGTGTGTTTGTTGTGTCATTCACTTTATTACAAAAGACAAGAAATAAAGAGACTGGGAAAGTAAATTAGAGCGTTAAAAAGAAGAAGGAGGAGGAGGAATAGGAGGAGGAGAAGAAGAAGGAGGAGGAGGAGGAGGAGACAGTGGCTTCACTCTTTAAGTACTAATAATTTGTATAATTACTTGATTAACACCTTAACCTCTCTCTC